GCTATGCCATATAGAAGACTGTTACAATAATCCAATCTAGAGTTGACGAAAGCATGTACTAATAGAGTCATTGTATCTCTATCTACCGATTTTGTGACTTGACGTAATTGACGTAGTTGGAACATACATTTTTTAACCAATAGACTGACTTGTGGACCCATTGTCATACCGGAGTCCATCACAATTCCCAAATTGGTAACCGTTTTACTGAAACTTATATCAGTCATGCTGATGTTAATCGATGAAGGTTCAACCGCTGACGTTTGTTGCCACGTACCAGCCAACATGAACTGAGTCTTAGTCTGATTCAACTTTAGCCTACTTTGACCCAGCCACGAGCCGACATCAGATATAGTTTTTGTCAGTTTCTCTAATACGGTAGGCATCTCATCTGGGAAACATGAAACGCAAATCTGCATGTCATCTGCGTACCCATGGCAATAATAACCATCTTTATTCAGTAAATCCAATATTTCTGCAACGTACAAATTAAAAAGAATCGGTCCAAGAACAGATCCTTGAGGCACCCCTGACGTAAGTTTCATTGGTTCCGAGAGACCACCTGAGTAAGAAATCTGCTGAGTCCGACCAGTAAGAAATGATTCGAACCACGCTAACGCAATCTTATTTAAACATTAACAATATTTCAGTCTGTCCAGCAGGATTTTATGATTGACAGTATCGAACGCCGAACTCATGTCCAGGAATGTCAACAAAGTTACTTTTTGTACATTAACTGTTGAATAAACATGAGAGAATATATACGATAGAGCTGTTTTGGTCGAATGAAACCTTCTGTATCCAGATTGATGCGAAGGCCAAATACCATTTTTATTTATATGATTATTTAAAACTAACTCAACGAAACGTTCAATAATTTTAGAAACGAAAGACAAATTTGACACCGGCCTATAGTTTATCAGATTTGATTTATCTAATCCTCTCTTCTTTAGAATTGGCGTGACAATTGCATGCTTGCAAACCTGTGGTATTACACCCTTCGTTAAGCACATGTTTAAAACATTCAGTTGACTTTTTGGTCACTTTCAACTTGTCAGCAAAAAATTTTTTAAAATCATCGGCGTTATGCATTGAACCAACTTCATTTTCAACACTTATCTCTTTTCCTAATAATTTATTAATCGTTTGCCATAAGTATTTGGAATTATTTTTAAATTGATATGTTTTCGCGAACCAAATACTCCTTCGTTTCAGTGAGTAACAAACATTCTTTTGTTTCATTGCCAGTATTCAATCAACTTTATCTATATAACAACCAGTAGTTCTGAACCTTCTTTCTTTTTTTCGACACATTTGCTTAGTCTTTTTGCAGTCACTGTCAAACCATGGGGCAGTCGGGACATGTTTCCATCGAACTTCATGAAGTGGAGCAACATCGTCAGCAATTTTTAAAAGCTCTTCATTGAATATTTTAAAACCCAATTCTACATCATCATCCTGACCATAATGTTTCGAGATAGGTGAGCACCTCAAAAGCTCAGTCAGACGTTTTTTATCCACTCGTTTCCAGGATCTGATCCACGATTTCTTGAAAATGACTGGAGTCGGATTGATTAAAAATTGACCAGTTACTAAACCATGATCTGAATAGATACCAGATGGGTACACCAATATATCTTCTAACAAAAAACCATCCGATGTGACAATCAAATCCAGGGTACCACCAAGCACATGGGTAGGCTGATTAATTCTATTGACAAGATCAAAACTAGAAAAAATATCAGCAAGAGCTGTTGCATATATATCTGACGAAGTTTCTACGTGTATGTTGAAGTTACCTGCAACTACAATACTGCAACATAAAAGAGTGATTTGTTCTAAAACTAAAATTAATTCTTCAAAAAATAATTTAGCAGGAGGAGCAGAACCTGGCCTATAAATCACCAAAAAAATTACTAAAGTTTTCCGTAACGTCAATTTAAAACATATCGCTTCAAATGTAATTATCACTGGCAATGGAATTTTTACACATTTAAAGTGGTTTCTGAAATACGTTACACCATGCCCAGGATCATTTAGCCTAACTTGCTCCAAAAAACTAAAATCACGTGGTTTTGCCAAACTAAGGCAAATATTATCTGATGATTTATGCCAAGTTTCTGTAAACATGTATGTATACATACATGTATATATACATACATGTATATATACATACATGTATGTATATATATATATATATATATATATATATATATAGTAAGGGAAACTAAACTAATTTTTTTAGTTAAACAATAAAATAGTTTGAACTAAAAAAATATAATTTGATCAATTTCCATAACTTTTTCAAAGTATTTAAACTAAACTAAAAACCACTTGCCAAATAATATATTTTTATATTTGTATTCCTTTTACTTACTGATAGTGACATAAACATAATTATTTTGTGTACCTGTACATTTTTCAGTCCGGGAGTCATCGTGACGGAACTGCACAAGAGATCTGGATTTTCTGATGAAGAATACAAATTGGTTACCGTTTTACTGAAACTTATATCAGTCATGCTGATGTTTATCGATGAAGGTTCAACCGCTGACGTTTGTTGCCATGTACCAGCCAACATGAACTGAATCTTAGTCTGATTCAACTTTAGCCAACTTTGACCCAGCCACGAGCCGACATCAGATATAGTTTTTATCAGTTTCTCTAATACGGTAGGCATCTCATCTGGGAAACATGAAACGCAAATCTGCATGTCATCTGCGTACCCATGGCAATAATAACCATCTTTATTCAGTAAATCCAATATCTCTGCAACGTACAAATTAAAAAAAATCGGTCCAAAAACAGATTCTTGAGGCACAACTGACGTAAGCTTCATTGGTTCCGAGAGACCACCTGAGTAAAAAATCTGCTGAGTCCGACCAGTAAGAAATGATTCGAACCACGTTAACGCAATCTTATTTAAACCATAACAATATTTCAATCTGTCTAGCAGGATTTTATGATTGACAGTATCGAACGCCAAACTCATGTCCAGGAATGTCAACAAAGTTACTTTTTGTACATTAACTGCTGAATAAACATGAGACAATATATCCGATAGAGCTGTTTCTGTTGAGTGAAACCTTCTGTATCCAGATTGATGCAAAGGCCAAATACCATTTTTATTTATACGATTATTTAAAACTAACTCAACTGAACGTTCTATAATTTTAGAAACGAAAGACAAATTTGACACCGGCCTATACATACATATATATATATATATATATATATATATATTATATATATATATATACATACATATATATATATATATATATATATATATATATATATTATATATATATATATATATATATTGGTAATAGACCATAATTTATATATATATATATATAATATTATTAATGAAACATTTATAAGCGCTAATTAAAATCAAAAAATTCTCAAAAGCACAATCTATAGTCAAACAACAAAAAAGAAAAAAGTACAATCAGTGGCTGTAGTAACAAACAAATAATTATTCACTCAACAACAAAATCAAAGCGAAAATAAGTAAGTTTTAAAATTTTTTTAAAATCATCAAGTTTCAAATCTTTAGTTCTAAAAGATCTCGGTAAGCTGTTCCAAACCATTGATCCACATACTGCAAAATCTCTTGATGCTATCTGCAGATTGACATCAGGTACAACCAGCAAAATGCCATCATCTGATCTAAGGTTCATATCACTCATCATTATAGACTTCTCTTTTATTTTATCTATCAAATAACTTGGTAACAAGCCATGTACAGTTTCATACATTAAAATACATATTTTATATTTAATTCTTTTCTTTATAGTAAGCCAATGAAGGCCCTTAAGAATTGGAAAAACATGGTTAAATTTGAGACCTCCAACAATCAATTTGGCTGCTCTATTCTGAATGGATTGAATTGCAAAAATAGACCTATCTGGCAAACCGTAAAACAGGCCATTGCAGGCCAGGCCTGTCCAATCGTGAATGAACAAATGCATGCACCAAGGTATGAATAGCAGATTTCTCTAATGACTAACGGAGTTTATAGAGCTCTCGAATCTGTCCGGAACATGAATTTGTTATCATCTTTATATGATATGTATCGATAATCTAAAATCAAGAATGAAACCGAGATTAGTTGCTTTGTCACTAAATTCTATTTTAACATCTCCTATTTTCACTGAATCAATATTAAGTTTTGTCAGCTGCTGACTCAATGACTGACCAGTGACTTGATTACAAAGGACTTTATTAATAACATTTCATAGATTTTTAGAAGATCCACTATTATCTGCAACAAGTCTTTTCCAATAACTGTTTCTTTTTTGTGAAAAAAGCCTAGATTTATTTTTCAGAGCTGCTATCCACTCATTTTTACATTTCTCTGTCTGATATTTTCTGTAATTCCTTTCTTTCTTTCGACAAAGTCTTTTGAAAGCTTTGCATTCACTATCATACCATGGAGCAGTAACATTCCATCTGACTTCTGCAAAACGAAGTGGAGCAACTGCATCTGCCAATTTCTTAAGTTCAGAACTCATATCAAACTCAATATTAATATTATTGCTTTGACAAGACCTTGATAATGGAGAAGTCTGTACATATTTAATGAGATTGCTTTCATTAAGGTATTTCCAGGATCTAACTTGTTTCTTGACTATTTTAGGACGCTTATGAGTTAGTGGTATATTAACCTGAATTTAACTATGGTCTGAAAAGTCCCACTGGGAAAAAATCTTAATATTTGTTTGTCGATCAAATTTTTTAATTGAAACATTTCTAATATTTCCAATAAATTTACAGTATGACGATCTTCCTAAATTACTAACTAAAACTGATCCTAGCCTGTAGATGGCTAATAGAACAAAATCTTTGTTGCTAATAAATAATTTAGCATCAAGTGCTTCAAATGGACTAAATATTGGCAAATCTATTTTCTTAAACTTAAATTCATTTCTGAAGTAAATAATTAAACCCCCATGATGAGGATCATTTATCCTCAAAAAATCAACATAACTATATCCTGGTGGCATTGATGATTTAACAGAAATGTTATTCAAAGATCCATGCCAAGTTTCGACTAAAACAAAAATATCTAGCCCATCATGAATCAAATCATAAATTGTATCAGTTTTAGAAATAAATGATCTAATGTTCAATAAACCTAGTGTTAAATTACGATTTATTATGTTGCAGTCTTTATCATTGTTATCATTTATTTCTAAATTCTTGAAACATTTTATATTAACGTTGGTTTTTTCTGTATTTTTACAATCTTCTATCTCCCTACCTGTCCTCTCACTCTGAACAAAAAATTTTGATAGTTTTCTTCTCGCTCCATAACTTTAGCTTTATCAACAAATGATTTGAATTCCTTCCTCTGATCCTTTGTTAAATCATAGTTCAGTCTAACATGTGAAAATTCTTTTAACGACTTGAATTTATATACATTTCTCATTATTGAGTCTCTGAGTAAAACGCAATCTAATTTTATCAAAATGGGTCTAACGACAGTTTCGCATTTCCTTCCCAGTCTCATTATTTTGCTTTAAAATTTTCAAAACATTGGAACGATCATCATCACTTTCAGCTAAACGAAACATCAATAATTTTGTTTTTCTTTCTTTAACGTCACTAGCTTCTTGTAAAGTTTTCTGGATATTTGACATCACTTCTAATTACATCAACATTCAATTTAATTTCCTTGCTGACAATGCTAGAAAACGTTTCATTTACTTCGTTTTTAAAAATTTTAATTTCCTCGCGTAAAACAGTATCAAAACAATCAAGTTCATCAAGCTTAGATTGGTTATGGTCAACAATTATTTTTATGCTATCAACATCAAGTTTTATTTTTCTGTTACAATCATTTACTTCATTTAATTGAGTAACAAATTTATTTTTTGACGCATCCATTGACTTAGCCAAACAAGTGCATGACAACAAATCTTTACTTGGAACTTTATTGTACACTTCGTACAACAGTAGCGACTACCAGACGTCATTATTGAATTTATTATTATAATTAGTTACGCTTCCTATTGCGTGACAGCAATTTACAGACAATATTTTATCAAATTTCACTAAAATAGTGAATTTTACAAACTAAATTTGATATCAAATTATTCAAAAATCTAATTATGTTAATCTATCAAAAAAATATCGATAAACGATTACTTTTAACGACGAAAACACCAAAATTAACTGACGAAACGACAATATCAACCGTCCAAACGACTGCCCAAACCTTATATATATTATTATAACCGTGCTACCGAACGCACTAGATTCTAGCGTATTCTAGAATGTTCTAGTGACTGGAGCATTGCGAAGCTTGCGAAGAGTATATAAGCGCACGTCGCAAGAAGATTCGTGATTAGTGAAATTCGTGATTTTGTGATTTCGTGAATAGCGATTCGGTGAATTATTTAAAGCGATATTTGATTTGTTTGTTGACGTTGTCATAGCGATAGATTTTAAACAATTTAAAAGTTAATTGTTGCGTTAATTTGAATTTGCTAAAAATAAACGATTAATTGATTTCTTCTGTAAATAAAGTTTAATAACTAATAACTGTTTGGAGTATTTTATTCAATCGAAGATTTGAACCCGTCGCATCGTAAATCGATTACGACAGCGAGTATTATAACATTGGTGTCAGAAGTGGGATCTTCGACCAGCGAATTACTACTCATAGAAAAAGAACACGATGTCAAAACTGTGTGGTTTGAACGTAGTTCAGCTACGAGAAGAACTACAGAAACAAAGCCTTGTCACAAGTGGCAACAAAGAAGTACTAGTAGCACGTCTGAGAGAAGCTCTCATTGACGAAGGTAAGAACCCAGACAAATTCAAGTTTGATGGTGCTGACGAAGACAATGAAATTAGCACAGGCACGTTTACAACCGCTAAAATGATGGAACTTCTGCTTAGTATGTCAACTGAAATAAAACAACAGATCAAAGAACAGTCCGAACGACAGTTCGAACGACAGACAAAGGAGTTAAAACAGATCAAAGAACAGTCCGAACGACAGTCCGAACGACAGACAGAAGAGTTAAAACAACAGATCAAGGAACAGTCCGAACGACAGACAGAGGAGTTAAAACAGATCAAGAACCAGCTAAAACACGTAAAATTGGAAGTGGCAGAACAGATTGAAGAACAGTCAACAAGAATAGAAATGATCGAGCAGAAACTTGATCGTCAGACCGTTGAGGTAGATCACAAGATAAACAAATTGAAGCGAGAATTGAAGCAATCCAAAGAAATGGCCATGCCGTTAGATCACGCATCCGGAAGAACTTTGAAGGTACCAGCATTTGACGGAGAGATGTCCTGGAACGTTTATAAAACCCAGTTCGAAGCAGCGGCAACTAGTAAATGTTGGAACGGAAAAGAACGAGCAACAGCACTGATACTGGCCTTGCGAGGTTCAGCAGCAGAGGTTCTTCAGACGATTCCGGCGGAGAACCACTTCAACTATGAAGTTCTGGTTAGCGCGTTGGATTTACGTTATGGTGAAAAACACATGAAACAGATTTATCGGTCTCAACTTAGAAACAGAATGCAACGATCTGGTGAATCCATTCAGCAGCTGGCACAAGATATCGAACGGTTGACATTGCTGTCGTATCCGACATCAGACCCCGAGCATAGAGACGAAACTGCCCTGGATACGTTTATCAAAGCTCTTCGTGATTCGGAACTTAAGCAATCCCTTCTCTTGTCAGATAAACGAAACCTCAACAGCATGGTGTACCCCAATGCTGGATTTGTGGGGAAAAAGGCCATCTACGTCCTGATTGTAAACACCGCCTAAAAGATAACTACTGCCGAAATTGCGCGACAAGATGGCGCAAAAGAAGAGAAGATGATCCTGTATCACGATCGGCCCCTTCGTTAGAAGGGGCGAAAAACTAATAAGAGACAACTTTGTGGGACAGAGGTTGGCTAGTAGAATTGACGCCCCCAGTACCGTAATTAACGTTTCCAGACTACATCGAAATCGAAACGACCTATGGCTGAACGGAAAAGTTGATCAACGAGAATGCGTAATTACAGTCGACACCGGAGCAACAAAATCGATTTTAAGATCTGATTTGGTACCCAATCTGAAGAAAAAGACTTCTAACAAATACATCCTTCGAACAGCTACCGGAGGAACAGCACCAGTCTATGGAAAGATTCTCCGTACTGTTCAGCTAGGCGACTTGTTATTTGAAGGTTCATTCTTAGTCGCGGATATCATCGACGAATGCATAATAGGTGTCGACTTTCTGACAAAATATGGGTTCAAAATTGACTTAGAAAAACGCATTCTTAGATGGAGAAATACAAAAGTGATAATGGGGGATAGCGACGAAAAATGCATTCGAGTGACAGTCGATTGTGACTTAGAACTACCTCAATCATCTGAAAACATCGTATGGGGCAAGTTGAATTGCGATCCTGGGGGCCACCAGTTCTATTTGATGGAGCCAACCTCAATGACAAATGTACAGAACGCGGTCATTGGAAAATGTCTGGTAGAAGCGAACAAAAATGGTCTTATTCCTGTCAGAATAATGAATACCGCTAAACACACTATTAAAATTAAAAAAAAGAGGAAATAGGTAATTGCCAATCAATAAATTTGGTGAAATCATTAGATATGGAGCAACAGAAAAAGGTTCTACCAACTGACAAAGGTAGACCAAAACTTACCAAAAATCTACTGGATGAACTCAATTTGTATCAAGAAGACCGTCTAAAAGCTGAGGCGTTGATTGCTGATTTTGCAGACGTGTTTTCAACCGGTGACAATGACCAAGGTAAAACGGCTCTGGTAACTCACCGAATTGATACTCAGGATGCGAAACCGATCCGACAAGTACCACGACGTCTTCCTCTAGCAAAACAAACAGAAGTAAACGAAATGATAACGACAATGCAGAATCGAGGCGTCATCGAACCGTCATCAAGTCCCTGGATTTCGCCAGTTGTTTTGGTAAAGAAGAAGGACGGCACTACCCGTTTTTGCGTTGATTATAGGAAGTTAAATGATGTGGCTAAAAAGGACAGCTATCCGTTACCGAGGATTGATGACATCATGGACACCCTATCTGGCTCAAGTTGGTTCTCTACGCTTGATTTGAAAAGCGGATACTGGCAAGTAGAAATCGACAAGAACGATCGCGAAAAGACAGCGTTTTCTATCGGATCGGGGTTGTGGCAATTCACCGTCATGCCATTTGGATTGTGCAATGCTCCAGCTACATTCGAGCGACTGATGGAATGTGTATTGCAAGGTCTTAACTGGAAAACCTGTCTTGTCTATTTAGACGACATAATTGTTCTAGGAAGAACATTTAATCAACACGTCGAAAACTAACGGGAGATCTTTACAAGACTTCGGGTGGCAAATTTAAAGCTGAACGTTAAAAGTGCAGGTTATTTTCTAAAGAAGTTAACTATAATCTTAACGAGATCATTCTCAGTGATTCCAAGGAAACGATTCAAACGCAGCAGTTGGTGATTGTCTATCTTCTGATAACAAATCCAAAACACCAGATGACTTAACAGAATGAATAATTTTTGCAACTTTATCTGTAAAAAATTTCATAAAATCACAAGCTGTGTGATGGATATTTGCATCTAATAAATTCTCACATCTATGAGCAATTAATGCCTCAACCTTAACAAAACTATGATCTGAGAATATTTCACGTGGAGATACTTTAACTCCCAGAATCGGAAAATTGCTGGAACTAATGACCTGGTCAAGAATACCACCTAGCACATGAGTTGGTTCGTGTACATGATTAATCATTTGAACTGCATCAAGTATTTCATTCAAGCGAATTGTGTGTAGATCATTAACTTTTTCAACATGCACGTTGAAATCCCCCATCATCAAAATATTGGCGTTTAACATCGTAAGATATTCTAAAACGGATACCAGTTCATCAAAAAACAATGAAGAAATCTGCATCGAATCCGGTCTGTAAATAGCAAGTAAAATAAACTGATACCCATTGATTGAAAATCGAATAGCAATAGTCTCAAATGTGACAAATATTGGTAAGACAAACTTTTTATAACCAAAATCTTGACGGAAATATACGATCAAGCCACCATGACCTAGATCGTGCTGCCTAACATAATCAACATACCAGAATCCGGGCGGCATAGCCAAACGGACAGAATTATTACCAACCGTACCATGCCAAGTTTTAGTGAGCACCAAGACATCCAGCCCATCACATATCAAACCATGAACACCGTTTACATTAGACGCAATTAACCGTACATTCAACAACCTAATCCCCATTCTATTTTGAATTTTACCACCAATACCATTTTTCCACAAAACACAAGAATGATTTTTAACCAACCCAGCATAATCAGTTTTAGAACAATTTTTCTCCGCATACCCCTTCAGTCAAATGATCGATTATTTGGCAAACTCTTGCTTTGTCATCTGGTCCCTTCTTCAATCTGAATATTATTACATTAGATTCTCTTTCCTTATTTTCCACAACATCCTTCAATTTTTTTTTGAACAATTTTCTTGATTAATTAATTGAACGCTTTTTTCCATTTCGCCACTAACAACACTGGCAAATGATCTACCCAATTCAGACTTTTTTTTATTATTCTTTAAAAATCAGGATCTGACAGACGCAGAAACTGTAACAACATGCAAGGCAGTAAAACAAAATTAAACAAATAAATACAAAAAGTGAAGAAGAGAAATGATAAAACATGAAAAATAAAATATGTTAGAATAAAATAAATAATAATAATAAGAGAAATAAAAGAAAAGTAATTGACGATGGAATACAAAATGAAGTAACGGCAAATTGATAGACTAGATGATGACTTAGTGAGGTGATCGATAAAAATAAAGGTTAGGCCTGTGTGAAAAAGTTTTAATGAGTATTAATATATTTGATAACTTATTAATAGACTAAATGATGACTTAATGAGTTAGTGAGGTGATCGATAGAAGTGAGGTGATCAATAAGTAAAAACTAGTTCAGTAATGAAAGTTTTTTTAAGTGCTAATATGCTTGAGGTGTCTTGTTATGAAGGTCTTTTCCTGGTATGTAGATTGGGCGACGACTTGATAGTTATGTTTGCGCTGACGAAGGTTGTGTGTTGTAGTTTTGATTGGTGGTAGTAGAGGATGGATGACGAGGTTGTTGTTATTTTCTATTTTCTTGAACAGCCTTGAGTCGAGTGTGTTGAATATCTGAGTGACGGTGGGATATGATGCAGGTAGGTAGTTGAAGCGAATTAGTTTTTGATGAGAGATTGTAGCTGCTGAAGTTGTTGTTGCGTGGCAAAACCAGACCAGGAGAGAGCTGCATATTTGATGCGTGATGATGAGTGATTTGGTGATGTCGAATAATTTGACGCCTCTGAGACCATGTGAACAACTTTAAGTTGGCGATCTCACCATAAAGCCTAGAACCAGATGTATCTATCTGCATAAGTTTGTTCTCGCTTTTATCACTAATGGCTCTAATTGCAGTAACCTCAGATACGATTGTTTTATTCACATCATTCAATTTTTTTATTTCTTCCCTTATTTCTGAATTGTCACTTGCAAATTTTGTTAAAAACTGTTTCTCCACGGATTTTAGTCAAACAAGCGTCGCAAAAATTTTTTATAATGTTGATTGTTTTGATGAAGTCATAATTCCAGTCCTTTCATTCCAGTCGGAAGGGGAAACAAAGCATCACAATGGAAACATTGTAGAGTCAAATTTGGATTTTCTTTGGTAGATTTGGTGGTATTTTGTCACCCATAGTGCCGTAACCCAAAATGAACAACGTCAACAATCAATACAATGTTTAAAACAACTTTTAAATTTACTTAAGAATAAATCGGGTTCAACTAAGCTAATTGTATAAGTCAATTTTTAAGACAGTATTTTAACTGCACAGATTGTGAGCATACAATAAACAGGTGCTATTAACCGCACTGTAATTTAACCTTAAAACAATTTGTAAGTAATTTGTTTAACTTTTATAATTAAATACATAAATTTCAAAGCAAATAAATATATTAATGACCACTATTTTTTTCTTGAAACTATAATATAAATTTTTAGTCAAAAACCGCACAAAAAACTATAAAAAATTACGAACAATAACAGAGAAAATTTTATCAACCGCACAGTACAACCAAGTATATATATATATATATATATATATATATATATATATATATTATATTATATATATATATATATATATATATATATATATATATATATGTTTTAATTAAATAATTTAA